ATAAATGTTCTCTTACAGTTTGGATCTGGATTTTGAATCCTTTCCTAGCCAGAACCCAAGCACTGAGGTTGCTGAAACTTGGTTTGGTCTGAACCCACTGGTCAGACACCTGGTGCCGTTCCTGCTGCCTACAATAGATTGACTCCAACTGTTGACCATATCCCTGCTGACCACTAGTCCACCAAACTACACATCATTCTTATCTCACAACCCCCCTTGCTGACCTCGACCTGAGTCAGCTGACCCTTGAAAGTTCAGTCAGAAAATGAAGATGTAAGTTCATGGTCTGTTTCCCTAGCAACCCTTTCCTTAAACTCTCACTTTTAAGACTCTTGCCTTAGTCTTCCTATCTCTGAGCATATCTTCAGTTCATGCTGAAGGCTACATTCTCTGATTTGCAAATCATATCAGAATAAAACTCTCTTTAATTCCTCTGGAGAGTCCTGTGGAATTTGTTTACAATGATGACAATGGTAGCAGTGTCATCCTTGAGATTTGAGGCAGTTAGGAGAATGGCTGGAGGGGAAGGTGAATATAGGAGCCAGAAGTATTTGAGATGCTGGTAACATATCCAAGTGGAAAAGACCAGCAAGCAATTGCAGATGTGAGCTGGATCACTGACATTATGTCTGGGTTAGATTTTAAAGCAATCCAGGTAGACATTGGTTAAAATCCTAGATGTGAATGAGATCACCAATAAACTCCATAAAGAAAGAAAAGAGGCTCTGGCTCAGCTGGTTGAGCATGGTCCCATGCACCCAGAGTCGCTGGTTTGATTCCCTGTCAAGGCACTTGTCTGTATTGCAGCAGGGAGAGTGCAAGAGGCGTTGATGTTTCTCTCTCTCTCTCTCTCTCTCTCTCCTTTTCTCTCTAAGAAAAAAAATCTTTTAAAGAAAGAAAGAGGTCCAAGGACCAAACTATGGTCAACAAATTTGAGAGAGAATGAGCAAAATAGGCCATGGATGAAAAATTCAAGAAAGTAAAAAAATAGAAATAACACAAATTTAGAAATGGTAAAGCATGCAACAACTAATATGGAGGGGAATTTAAATAGATTAGCATAGGCTTGAATATGCAATTATCATACCATGTTCAACTCTATGCTAATAAATTTCAAACTCTGGTGATTTTCTGAAAAATGTAAATTTCCAAAATTGGAACCAGAAATATAAAATTTACTATATCAAAAATAATAAAAATAAGCTGAAAAAACAATTTAAAAAATACTTCCCCAAAAAAGTCTCCAGAATGTAATAATTTTACTAATAGTCTTTCAAATTCCTAACAAATAAAATGTCACATCCTCCCTAATTTGTTCCAGAGCATGTAAAAATGGAAATTACTCCATTAATTTTGTATTCCTTCTCTTCCACCTTCTTTTGCCCCTATCTTCACCATTTATTTATTTTATTGGTCCTTTACACTCAGTTAACTTCATATTCTATCAAACTTGCTGCCTCACAAAAATGGTTTAAAAAGCATTTTTGCTTCTGAGTTTGAATAGGCTGTGAAACATGTTTATAGATAAGAAGTAAACAGGAAGGTGTTTCTCTCCTTCTTTTCAGAAACCAAAGTAACCACACAGGGTGGTTTGAACATCAAAATTCCTAACTTTAAGCAGGTCCTGGTGGGTAGTCACGTCCTGAGTTTGCAGGCAAAGGACAGTCTTTAACTTTAAATTTCATGTCACCCTCCTTACATCCCCTGCTTTGATTCTAACGTGTAAAATAAGCTGCAAAACTGCCATTCCCTGGAGCGTTTTATTCAATCCATTGACATTTTGTTTTCTGACCATTGTCATCATTTTGGCTCTAATAAACTTTCATAAGACTTTTTTCTAGGCTGATGTTCTTTCCTCAGCACATTAAAGTTCACACACACACACATTTGCACGCACTCTAGATGTTGGTAGGAAGGTACAACTCAACTTTTTGTTCCTTGGATCCTACCACAGTAACTAGTACATAGTTTACCCTTAATAAATGTTATTTCAAACCAAATCAAATCAAATTGAATTGAATCTACTTAAAACAGAGGTGTAAAGAAAAAGCTATGGGAGCAACAGAGGAAAGCGGTTTCTAACTCTGCCTGGGGGAATTAGGAAAAGTGGAAATAAAATTAACACAAAATGTGTTTTGAAGAGTTATACAAACCATGTTGACAATGCAATTTAATTGCATAAAGGAAACATTTATTTAATTTTAATAATAAAGGCTTACACGTTTTTACGCAGCATTTTAATCTTTGAAAAATGCTCCAGGCACTAAATAATTGAATTTTCTAGATTATATTCTTCAAAAATCATCCACATTGATTTAATGCTAACAATGTAGTTAAATGAAAACATAAACAAATTAAAGTAGAGAAGTATTGAGTTCTGAGCACCAAGCTCAAAACGCCTCTCCATCTTCAGACCACCCACTACCCAAGAGGGGGTACCAATGTGGTACCAAGAGGAGACAGATGGCCCTGATTCTGTCTCTGACCAATGAGAAAACCCTTGTCAATGTGAACACCATTGTCACCTTATCATGTGCACAGGGAGATAATCTAAGAAGACACTCCGATCTTCTAGGCCCTAAAGTGTAAAATACTAGTGATACCATTATAATTAGCTAGTTATTAATAAATAGAGGCCCGTTGCACAAAGAGATTCGTCCAATAGGCCTTCCCTTCCCCTGGCTGCCGGCACCAGTTTTCCTCCAGCACCCGGGACCCAGGCCTTCGCTCCGGCCTGGAGCCTTATGTCTTCACTCCGCCACTTCACGCCTATGTATGCAAATTAACCGCCATGTTTGTTGGGTTAATTTGGATACTCTCCTGATTGGCTGGTGAGTGTAGTGGAGGGATGGTCAATTTACATGTTTGTCTATTATTAGGTAAGATAGGAAAGGAGCAAAAGGGAGGCCAGACATAAGCATGGCCATTTGGGCAGCTTCCCCACGAAGCTACAATTTCACACTCTCCAGAGAACCACTGGCCCATTCCCTGCAGGTCACTGGGGGAAGGGGAGGTACACGCATGTGCAGTGAAGTTGAGGTGACTAGGGAGGTGCCTGTCAGTCAAACCTGGGAATAGAGATCATTGGCAAGAATGGGCAGGGCCACTACAGCCTGTGAAAATTTGGGGATACATAATCCCCCAAACAAAAGATTTCACTCTTTTGGCTCGTGGCTCTCTTAGCTTTCTGGTTCCTTTGGCTTTGCTCCTGCCTATGTTCCTTCCATGGCCATGTAGCCATGTGGACCCCACACACAGTGGATTGATGAACTGCAGCAGGGGAAACAAGCTAAGCTAGCCTGATGCTGGACTAGACACTGCTCCAATATGGAACAAAATCTCTGGACACTGGCTCTGATCTTAGTCCTTGGTGGAACAAAGGGAAACGGGACCTTGGAAATTCAGGGGTATAATTCCACGAAAATAAAACTTTATAATACCTTGTCCTCCCATGAAAGTTTTAGAAGATTCCTTTTCTCTGGATATCACAAGAAGCCTACTCCCACCAGCCACTGACGGGGATGAGGACTTCTCCCCCAACCATAACAATAGCATCCAAAGGTCAACGTTGGCTATTCTTTCACCATTCACTCTCTATAGTCACTTCTTTTCTAATAAATGAAAGAATCTCTAAGAATTGTGTTGATCTCTGATGAACACTGATCATGTGAAATGAAACTGCTACCCAGGAATCTACCTGTGCTGTAATATATGTAAAAAAGTGTTTAGTGCTTTTATTGATTTCAGAGAGAGGAAGGGAGAAGGAGAGAGAGATAGAAACATCAATCATGAGAATCATTGATTTGGCTGCCTACTGCATGACCCCCAATGAGGATCAAGCCCACAACCTAGGCATGTGCCCTGACCAGGAATTGGACTATGACCTCCTGGGTCATGGGTTGACACTCAACCACTGAATCACGCTGGCTGGGCAAAGGGACATTTCTTGTTGTCACATGATGTGAGTACAGCTGTAATGCTGAGACTAATAGGGGGGTGGGGGGCGGGGAATCCCTGTAGTCCACCTCTAGCTTATTTAAGAAAGATTAGAAATAGGAAAGAGTAATTAGATAAATTTATCAGGTGTCAGAATGACAGCTTCCTTCCATTCCTGGGCAGAATTGGGAGACCACCAAGACTGGTTCATGGCTGGGGAACGGGACGGGAAGGGCAAGGAAAGCAGGAAGAAGAGTGAAGGAACTAACCCTTTTGGGCTGTCTCCTGCCTAGGGTGAGGCAGGGGTAGGGAAGAAAGAAGCTCTGGCTTGAATGGGAAAACTTTTGATTTAGACTAGAGGAGACATTTTAACTCTTGAAAGGGAGTCACAGCTTCCTAAGTGAGATGGTTCTCATAACTGAAAGCCACTCACAAACAATGAGACATACTCGTGGTGCCATCACGGGTCAGGGGACAGAGATCTGACAGAGCTGCAAAGGGAAAAATAAGTCACGCCATGTCCTGTTTGTATCCATTGAGATCATCCCATTCACTAAACTGGTTACACAGTCCTAAAACATCACCTCATTTGTCCTAACATGTCCAAAGTAAATGCTACATAGTCGATTCTGTTCACTGTTGTAATGACCCACTTGGCTTAACTACAGGGTATTCCAAATAATTGTGCAAAAATCAAATAAAATAAACAGCCACACAGAAGTTTAACTGAATAGCCAAATATAGCTAGCTATAGCTTTAGACTTTGTCTCCCTTTGTGATATAATATAACCCCCAATAAAACAGAATAATGAAATTTAGATCAAGATATCATTAACAGGACATTATGACTTGTCTGGATCATCAAAACCTGGCAGACATTTGGCATCATTGTTATTTTAAACACTTTTGGTTTTCCACTCAGGAATAGGACAAGGGACTAACCTCAATGATTAAGGATGGAATTTAGCTGGAGAAATTAATTTCAGCTAAGCCACCAAAATGTCCCAAGCTGACACTACTTTTTGTAAGGACAAGATGCTTTGTGGCATAATCTAACCCCCACCCCCAGGTTGTTGTAGAAATGGCCTCGATTTTGAATCACTGAGATGCCCAGGTCTCACTGACCACCTGGAGGAAACTGGAGACAGCTTCTTTCACTGTGAACTGCTTTCATTTTCACCTGTTGGACAGGTCAGTAATCCTGACAAAATAAAAAACACAATAAAACTGATCAGGAGATGGCTAGAGAGATTAACTAATAAAATTTGCAATGCTTTATAACTGTATGGTAATGACAGAATCTACAATAATAAAATGGCCCACAATTTAAATTTACAATCCCTACTTACTCCATAAAGCCCTTGCATTTTAGAAGCGAGATTATCTATTCACAAGGCTTCTGCCCAACTCTTGTAAGAGGATTCTATTGTAGTTAAACTGGAGATAAAATGAGAGTTTTAATGTGATTATAGGTCAATGGTTTTTGAATTGTTAATGTATAAAAGACCCTGGAGGCAAATGCTGAATATATAATTCGTGAAAGACAAAATTAAATAAACAAAAAGCAATGTACAACCTGGAAAACATTTTTAGTTCTCATGGAGCGTTATAACACATGTCCTCTAGCTTCCAACTCAACAGAGCTGAGCTGACACCACAGAAAGGAGGCAAGGAAATTAATTTTGCTTCATGGACTCAGAAGTGAAAGAAAATGGTTTGTGAGAAAGCTTTTCAAAATTGAAAATATGAACCACAGTCATAGACATGATTTCTGAGGGCATGGAAGCTCCTTAATGAGATTCATCCTAGTGATATAGCAAGATAAAGAAGATGAGACATAGTGATTTATGTTTATTATACTCTACCCACTTCCGGAAAGGGTTTGCCGTGAATGAGAAAATCCTGGGGAGCAGGAGGGATATTTTCAGTCTGGACCAGGCAGTGTTTTGAACATATCTATAAGGCTGTCCTAGTAACACTACGGTGTCGGGTGAATTTCCCGCCAAAATATAAGATGGCGCGGGCAATTATTTAGGTTTCCCGCGCAAAATCAGAGTTAGTTTAATATCTTTTGAAGTATGGGTTCGATTGAAATGAAATTTTCGGTACTGGACCAGCGCCATAAAGTGTTCTCTACTTACAAGGGATTTTTATGATACCTATTACCCCAATGGGTATGAAACGGTTCGCATACACAGGTAGGTATCTTTGTGAACGGCAAACAAACAAATATTTGGTAATACGCAGTTACAATCGGCCCGAGTTTACACGTTTCCCGCACTCCACCGCAAATCTATATGAACCGAGTTAAGACGGCTCCCGCGGAGTACGCGCAATTCACGCGAGCCGACTTAACTCGTTTCCCGCAACCCAAGTGGTAAGAATGGTACCTGTGGCCGGCCATACACACAGCTTCCCCTTTTGCAGTTCAAGGATGACCTTGACCCTGGTGACTAACTTCCCTATTTTCTTGACTATTGGCCCTATAGCTGCTCATTTAGGCCATCAGTTTCTCACTCTAAAATGCCCATCTGATAACAGCATGGAGAAGAGAGAGGCGACTCCCTCTCAGTGTCACTGCACACACACTGTGGAGATGCTGGGAAGAAATGCACCCACCTCTGAGAAACTTCCTTCCTGCCACCCTTCTAGTTACTGGTTTAGAAACAAGAGACATGGATGGGGTGGTTACAAAGCTCAGCAGAAATGGTCATTATAAGCTCTCAGATTCTCTGGCACCAACTGGGTGTCCAACAATTCAGTTTGATTCTGACAATAACTACCGGGAGTTAGCATCCAATTGAGTGGTTGTAAGGGTTCAGTCCTGCAAGACTTCTCACTTCAAATGCCAGTCGCAAATGGGATGCCCAGGTTGCTGTCACTTCTCTGCCACTTGACTAGAGATTTCAGGGTTCCCACACCCCACCCCCTTTCAGGTTCCATAATTTGCTAGAACAACTCACAGCACTCGGGAAACTGTTTACTTACTATTAGAGTTTATTTTAAAGGGTATGAGTGAACACCAGATGAAGAGCTACACGGGGCAAGTCCAGAAGGGCCCCCAATGCAGGAGCTTTGTCCTTGTGGAGTTGGATGCACCATCCTCCTGGCACATGGATATGTTCACCAACTTGGAAGATCCCTGAACTCCTTGATTTGGGTTTTTTATGAAGTTTTTATTAAGTAGGCATGATTGATTAAATCATTGGCATTAGTGATGAAACTCAAACTCCAGCCACTCTCTCCTCCTCAGAGGCCAGAGAGTTCCAAACTTCTGATCGGGCTTGGTCTTTCTGGCCACCAGCCCGCATCCTGAAGCCATCCACCGCCCCTACCAAGAGTCATCTCATTAACAAAATCTCAGTGGTTGAAAGGAGTTCATTATAAATAACAAAAAATAAAAAAATGGCCCAATCACCCCATAACTCAGGAAATTCCAAGGGATTTAGGAGCTCTGTGCTAGGAACCCGGGTCAAAGACCAAATATCTATTTCTGATTATACTAGATAGGCTCACCTAGCATCCAACCTAGAAGGGCTCTGTGAGATCCTCTAATCCAAACCAACTGTCCCACAGTAAAATCAAATGAGGCCCAATTCTTTTTCACAAGATACAGATAGCGGTGATTTCAATTTTGTCCCATAAACATTTCCTCTAAGCCACTTGTGGATGTTGGACATTACCAGGCTTAGGAGAGGAAGACCTGGAGTGCGTTCATACCACTGGCTGACATTTACATGGCACATTGAAGAGCACGGTCCCTGCTTTACCCAGTACAATCCCGCTAACTAACCTATGAAGTAGGACCCATTTTACAGATGTGGAACCTGAGGCTTAGATAAGTTAAGGTCACGTGTTAGTAAGCAGTGGAAATGTTATTTGAATTCAGGTCTGACTCTGGAGTTCTTTCCCCTGTACCATGCTGCCTCCCAGCCATCATGAGAGAGCGGATGGCTATGGAACAAACCACAGCTCAGGATTAAAATCACCTGTCTTGATCACAAATAATGAATCAGGCGTGTCTTCAAAACTGATGCCTCTAAGCCCTGGCTGGTGTGGCCCCATTGGTTGGAGTGTCATCCCATACACCAAAAGGTTGAGGGCTCAATTCCTGGTCAGGGCACATACCCAAGTTTTTGGTTTGATCCCCGTTCGGGGCATGCAGGAGGTAATGGATCAGTTTCTCTTTCATATTGATGTTTCTCTCTCTCTCTCTCTCTCTCTCTCTCTCTCTCTCTCTCTCCTTTTTGCTTCCTCTCTCTCTAACTCTAAAATTAATAAAAGCATATCCTTAGGTGAGGATTTTTTTTAAGAGCTGCCTCTGAGACAATAGCCTTCAGGGTGACATCTTTAGCTCTCATGAATGGGCACTTTCAGGTATTCGAGACATCATGGATGCAACCACCCACAAAAAATGCTATTTAATTGAAAAAATATTTTTAAAAAGTAAAGTTTCATAAAAAAAAATCTTTGTTAATTGTGGGAGCCAGCACGGCCATGGCATACTCATGCCAGCTCAGCCTGGTTCAGTGACCCTGAGTTGGGGCGATGAAAGGCTTAGAAAAGACAGACAAGAGAATGAAAGCTGGGTCTCGGTGGGACGCGGTCCCTCATCGCCCCCACTCAGGGTCACTGAACCAGGTGGCATGAGTATGCCATGGCCGTGCTGGCTCCCCACAGTTAATTCAGATGCCACTAATTCATAACCAATGCTACATGAATAGGACCCAGGGTGAATTTTACCTTTGCCAACCCTTTCCTAATAAATTAAGAAATTAATTGTACAGTTGTGTGAGATTCATATTCACTATCAAGTTCCAGAGCATTTTATTATTCTCAATTAAAATTATACAGTGCTGCCCTGACTAGTTTGGCTCAGTGGATAGAGCGTCGGCCTGTAGACTGAAGGGTCCTGGGTTTGATTCCAGTCAAGGGTACATGCCCGGTTATGGGCTCGATCCCCAGTAGGGGGCATGCAGGAGGCAGCCAGTCAATGATTCTCTCTCATCATTGATGTTTCTCTCTCTCTCTCCCTCTCCCTTCCTATCTGAAATCAATAAAAATATTTTTTAAATAATAAAATAAAATTATACGGTGCTATTTTTAAAAAATATATTTTATTGAATTTTTACAGAGAGGAAGAGGGAGGGATAGTTAGAAACATCGATGAGAGAGAAACATCGATCAGCTGCCTCCTGCACACCCCCTACTGGGGATGTGCCTGCAACCAAAGTACATGCCCTTGACTGGAATCGAACCTGGGACCTTTGAGTCCGCAGGCCGACGCTCTATCCCCTGAGCCAAACTGGTCAGGGCTACAGTGCTATTTTGACTATAATTATCATTATTATTCTGAAGCCATACTTTCAAAACCTAATAGAAAGGTAAAATATAGTTCCTAGTACATGTAATATAGAGTATAGATATTAGAAATATTTATGCAGCAAATATTTACTTATTTTCCAAAATTTACATAATCACTTTAGCAAGTATACATTAAGGCATACATTTTCTGCATACACAGAAAAATATATATCTTTGTAGTGTATTCAATATAATCCTGAAAAGGGATGTGGTTTGGATATTTATTTCCTAAGTAATGACATCATTCATAACAAAAAATACAACTTCTAAGACTCCAGTAGCATTGAGATTTAAAAGTTATTTAACAAGAAAGCCTTAGGGAGACCCCAAGGGTTCTTCTAGGCTATGAAATATGTTCAATTGCTTCATAAGTATGAAACAAATAGTCTCCTTTATGGAGTACTTGCTAGACTAAAGAATTTTGTCCTTTATTTTAGGTTTTCATGAGTCTCCGGGCCCATTTTTAGCCTGGTCACGGGCATGTACCTGGGCTGCCACTTTTCAGTGGCACACCTGACATCATTGAATCCTCCTAACAACACAATGATGCATTATCCTCCCCATTTGAAAGATGAGGAAAGAGGTTTGGAGAACTTTAAGAAACTTCCTTACAGTCAATAAACTAGTCAATGCTGAAGCTGGGAATCAAATCTGGGAGTGCGTACCTTGAGACCCATGCTTTTGCACCACCGTGGTGTGTGGTGGGTTGGCCTGTGTACTAAAAGTACACAGGCTGAGCAACACAGCAGCCCCACACTGGATCATGGAGACGCAACCACTACAAAGAAGCTAAGAGAAATTTAATAGGCCACTAAAATGTCAGATAGCAATCTATAT